TGGGCTCTCATCATCCTCTTTTGATACATTTGTCCATGACATATAGCATTCAACATTTTCTCTTTAATAAGATTCAGTTGATCAAGGCGAGACTGGATCCATTCTGCTTCATCCAACTCCACTTCTTTCAAGACTCGAAGTGATGGAATTTCAACCTCAATAGGTACGACTACCTCTGTTCCATATACCAAAGAGAAAGGCGTTGCCCCTGTCGATGTTCGCACGGTCGTTCTATACCCATAAAGGGTAAAAGGTAATTTTTCGTGCCAATCTCTGTAAGTTTCTGTAGTCTTCGTAATGATCCTTTTGATATTCTTGTTTGCTGCCTCTACCGCCCCATTCATTTTCGGCCGATAAGTAACAGAGTTGGCATGCTTTATCTTGAACTGCGAACTAAGTTCATCCATCATCTTGTTTTTCAAATTAGTAGCATTGTCTGTGATGATTCTTTCTGGCAATCCATATCGACATATTATTTCCCTCTTTATGAATCTACAAACTGTAGATCTCGTGACACTGGAATAGGAAGCAGCCTCTACCCATTTTGTGAAGTAATCAATTGCTACTAAAATGAATCGATGCCCATTTGAAGCTTTTGGTGTGATTGCCCCAATGACGTCCATACCCCACATAGAGAACGGCCAGGGTGAGCTCATAACTTGCAAATGTGAAGGCGGTGCTTGGATTTTATCCGCATATATCTGGCATTTATGGCATCTTCTCACGTAATTGACACAATCCGTATGCATTGCGGCCCAATAGTATCCATATCTCATAATTTTTCTGGCCATGGACAATCCATTCGTATGCGTTCCACACGTTCCTCCATGTACTTCTTCCATCACATTCTTTGCTTCTTTGGCATTTACACATCTCAGTAAAACTTGGTCACTGCCCCTTCTATACAAGATTTCCCAATCAAGGAAGTACCTGGTTGCCATTCTTCTGATGGTTTTCTTGTCAATTTCAGATGCACCGGGGGGATAAGTCTGGTATCTCATATATTGTAGGATATCGTGGTACCATGGATGACCATCTATTTCTTCTTCTAAGTGATAGCAGTAGGCTGGGGTCTCGTAAACTTGCATTGTTATGTGCATCATGTCTGTTCTTTTATTAGCTTTAAACATTGCTGCTAAGGTAGCTAAAGCATCTGCCATTTGATTGTCCTCTCGGGGGAGATATCTGAACGTGACATCCTCAAATTCTTTTAGTAATTCGAGGATTAAATTTCTGTATTCGACTAGCTTTGAGTCTTTCGTCTCCCATTCTCCCTTTAGTTGGTATACCACTAGCGAGGAATCTCCATATACTTTGAGTGTTTTGATCTTTCTTTCAATAGCTGCTTTTAACCCCATAATGCAAGCTTCGTATTCGGCCATATTATTGGTGCAAACAAAATCTAATCTGCTTATGAGAGGATAATAAATCTCCTCTGGGGAAATCAACACCGCCCCAATTCCATTTCCTAAAGCGTTAGAAGCACCATCAAAGTACAAAGTCCAATATTTGTTGCCTTCGGAGCTCTCCTCCTCGGTATAAACGCACATTAAATCTTCATCTGGGAAATTGAAGTTCAAAGACTCATAATCCTCCGAGGCACGACTTGCAAGAAAGTCGGCTATAACGCTCCCTTTTATTGCCTTTTGACTCACATAGACAATATCAAACTCAGATAACAATATCTGCCATCTAGCCAATCTGCCAGTCAAAGCAGGGGACTCCATCAAAAATTTCAACGGATCCATTTTCGATATTAACCATGTAGTATGGTATAACATGTACTGTCTGAGTCTTCGAGTAGCCCAAACTAAGGCACCACACAACTTTTGAATCGGTGAGTATCGAGTCTCACAATCAGTAAACTTCTTACTCAAGTAATAAATGGCTTTTTCTTTTCTTCCTGATTCATCATGTTGCCCTAGTACACAACCCATTGAATTCTCGAAAACTGCTAAGTAGAGAATTAATGGTCTGCCGGGTACTGGCGATACCAATATGGGGGCATTGGACAGGTACCTTTTGATGACTTCCAAAGCCTCCTGGCATTCATCATTCCATACCTCAGGATTATTCTTTTTGAGCAATTTAAATACCAGATCACATTTATCAGTAAGCTGAGAAATGAATCGCGATATATAATTTAACCTTCCTAGAAACCCTCGAACTTCTTTCTGTGTGCGTGGTGCGGGAAGGTCATGAATTACCTTAACCTTATCCGGATCAATCTCGATTCCTTTCTGGCTTACCACAAAACCCAATAATTTTCCAGATTTTACTCCGAATGTGCATTTTGTTGGATTGAGCTTTAATTGGTACTTCCTTAATCGTTGGAATAACTTTCTCAAATTTTGTACATGCTCTTCTTCTGTTATGGACTTGGCAATCATGTCATCCACGTATACTTATATCTCCTTGTGCATCATGTCGTGGAAGAGAGTCACCATGGTTCTTTGATAGGTTGCCCCAGCATTCTTCAACCCGAATGGCATTACTTTATAGCAGAAAGTTCCCCACATGGTTATAAACGTCGTCTTCTCCATGTCTTCAAGGTTCTTTTTAATCTGATTGTACCCTGAGAAGCCATCCATGAAGGAAAACCATGAATGCCCCGTAGTGTTATCCACCAGGGTGTCTATATGAGGTAAGGGAAAATTGTCCTTTGGGCTAGCCTTGTTAAGGTCTCGATAATCTATACACATGCGGACCTTCCCATCCTTCTTAGGTACTGGTACTATATTGGCTACCCACTTAGGATATTTTGCCTCTTGAAGAAAACCTGCTTCAATCTGTTTTGATACTTCTTCTTTAATATTTAATAGCATCTCTGGTTTCATCCTTCTGAGTTTTTGTTGGACGGGTTTACATTCTGGCTTGATGGGCAACGTGTGGATTACTAAATCAGTACTTAGCCCTGGCATATCTTGATATGACCAAGCAAAGACGTCTTTGTACTCCTGGAGCAAACTTATCAACTCTAGCTTTATTTCTGCGGATAGAGTAGCGCCAATCTTTATTTCTCTATGTACCTCCACGGTCCCCAAGTTTACAAGTTCTACTTCTTCCTTGTGGGGTAGGATCTGTTTCTCATCTCTTTCCACCAATCTTAATAGCTCACTAGGGACTTCACAGTCTTCTTCATCTTCACATTCATTGACTTCTTCCAAACATGGTGGTCGCTCGAAATTTGTCTTGCAACTGGCCTCAGGAATAATTATGCTAGTATTATTGTGACATCTGCATGAAATTTAACTCGGATATATTGGAGAGTAAAGAAATAAAGAATATGATGTAATGAAAAATGAAGAATTTGGAGATTTGAAGAATAAATAATATGATATGAAGAACATTATGAAATAATGTGAAGAATGAAAATAATTGTTATTTGAGGAAAATATCTTTAATTGATTGATGGGATAAGCGTGAAGTTTTACAAAAAGTCCAACAGATATTTTTTAGATGCTAATACAAATTATTCTGGGGCATTACTTTGGATTGACCCTAAAAACTTTGGGGAGGTCCTCGGCTGTCCAATTGTCGAGCTTTTCACCAGGTAAGCACGGACGGATTCCAGCTAGAAACTTCCCGGGTTGGTTGCCCCCAGAAATCATATTGATTGACAATCCTTTCAGAGCTTCGCCCATCATCTCGATTTCGATGGCGCTAGTCAGCTGTTGTTCTGCGTTGTACACTCCTCCAAATTTGAAAGAGCTCTTCAGGGGAGGAAAGGACATGCATTCTCCCGAGACATCATCTCCTCTTAGTCTGGCCTTTCTCGCCTCATTCTTTTTCTTTATTTCTTGACCCCGCTGCTGGAAGGTGGGCTTAAATCCGAGCCCGAAACGGTCCTTCTTCAACTCAACAGTTATGGGTCGTACCTGTCCCTGCAGCTCTTTTTCCAGTCCTTTACCGATCCTTGCTCCTCTTCCTAGGGTTTGTCTCACTGTCATCTTAGTACAATTCGACAGTGCGGGTCGTAGAATTCTACTACCTTCAGCCACATAGGTTGCATTGATGAATTCCAAAGCCCTGAATAAGCACTCTAAGGCGTCCTCATTTATGTCGATATACGGGGTCTCAGACGTTACAGAAGCTATGATTTCTTGTTCTGCCCCAATACTGACCAATCTTCCATCAATTACGAACTTCAGCTTTTGATGCAGGGATGAAGGAACTGCCCCTGCCGCATGGATCCAAGGTCTCCCTAACAAACAGTTGTATGTTGGGTGGATATCCATTATCACAAAATCAACATTGTAAATAGCAGGCCCAATCATTAAGGGTATTTCCAGCTTTCCCATCACGTCCTTCTGGGTTCTATCGAATGCCCTGACGATGTTATGATACGCTCTCATATGTGAGCTATCAATGGGCATCCTTTGCAGTGTAGCTAAGGGCATTACATTCAGTGCCGACCCATTATCTATAAGAACCCCTGGCAGGACATGACTGTGGTAGTGCACAGTGATGTTTAAAGCCTTAATGGATCCAATCCCTCCTTCCGGGATCTCATCATCAGTGAAAGTAATATAGTTGTCAGCAGCTATGTGACCCATAATTCGATCTAATTTATTCGGTGAGATATCCTCAGGAACAAACGTTTGGTTGAGCACTTTTAGCAAGGCGTTCCGATGTACTTCGGAATTGATCAAAAGATCCAAGTTTGAGATTTTTGCATGCTGTTTGTGAAGCTGCTCCACTAAATTGTATTCACTGTGCTTAAGAAACCTCAAAAACTCATGACCTTGAGCTTCAGTCATAGGCTCGTTAATGATCGGTGGAGGTTCTTCATTGAAAATTTTTGGCATTACGACGGCTTTGGCTTTAGTTTTTCATTTGTCTATCTCGAGGGACATTTCTGGTGAGTAGCATCTTTCGCTTCGTGTGAAATGTCTCACCTCACCTACTTCTTCTGAGCTTGATTTATTTTCCTCGTTTGTTCTTTCAGATATCTTGGACCCCTCTGGTATTGATACATTGGTTGTATAACTCCAAGGAACCTATCGGGTATCCTTGAATGAGAAGGGGGACGGAGTTGTAATCACCACCCTTGGAGTTGTTGACGATGATCTCTCTTGTCCCGGATTAACTGTGATGACTATCGGTTTTCTCGTCCCCGTCATTCTGCCCGAGCCATCCATCATACAAATATCTATTTCTCGTGGTTTCTCTTCCTTACTGAAAAATTCCACTTCTCCACTATCCATAATTTTCTGAAGCAATTCTCGAAATTCAGGATAATTCTGGATATCATGGTCCTTAGTTTGGTGATGTTCACAGTATGTTTCTTGTTCCAATGACCTTGATTCGGGACTTCCCTTAATCATTCCCGATATACACAGCTGCCTGAACACCCAACAGAGGGGAGATTTGACTTCTGACACCTTTCTCTTGGTCGTCCTGATCTCTCCTTCTTCGACCATGTTGATTCTTTGCCCCCCATGATTGGGCATAGGGTGAGTATTTACAGCTGGTGTTTTGAATTCCAAATCTCCAGCGTTGATAAGGTTTTGTACAACCTTCTTAAATTGTGGGCAGTTCTCGATATCATGCCCAGCAATCCCTGCGTGGTATTCACAGTGAGCATTGGCATTATACCAGTGAGGGTAAGGTGGCTGCATTGGAGTCAATTTGTAAGGGCATATTAAATCTGCCTTCAAGAGCGAGGCGTAGATTTCTGAATATGGTACTGGCACTGGTGAGAAAGTCGGTCTTGTATTCTCCCTTCTCTGCCCTTTATTTTCATGGGTGTTGGTATTCTCTGTCTTAGGCTGCGAAATCGTGATGCTGGCTGCGTAGTTCTTTTTATAAGTACTCGTCTGGCTCACTTCATTGTCTTTTTTCTTGAAATAGGGCTTCTTCGACCTATCACCTCCTTCAATCTTGCCACTTTTAATGGCATTTTCGATTAATTCTCCAGAAAGAACCAAGTCAACAAAATTCTTCGTAGCATTTCCCAACATATGCCCCAAATATGGAGCCTTCAGAGTATGCACAAAGATAACCGTAGCCTCTTTTTCCAGCAACGGTGGCTGTACTTGTGAGGCAACATCACGCCACCTTTGGGCGTACTGCCTGAAAGTTTCATTATGTCGCTTTTCCATGTTCTGCAATGTCCATCTGTCAGGCATTAGTTCGGTGACGTGATGATACTGTTCATAAAATGCTCGAGCCAAGTCTCTCCATGACTTGATCTGGGATCTAGTCAATTGATTGTACCATTTAATTGCTGATCCTGTTAGGTTGTCCTGGAAACAATGTATCAGTAGTTTCTCATTTTCAGTATACCCTGCCATTCTTCTGCAGAACATGACGAGGTGAGCTGATGGGCAAGTAGTTCCATCATATTTTTCAAAGTCTAGTGCTTTGAACTTCGGGGGTAGAATCAGGTCAGGCACCAAACTTAGCTCTCTAGCATCCATTCCATAGAATGGCTCAACTTCTACTGATCTCATTCTTTCCTCCAGGCTTTTCAACTACTGGGTTATATCACTGTTAACCCTTCCTTTTTCCGAGACTTCCTGAAAATCAGGTGGTAACTCTTTTACGCCTGATTCAATGGGTCTTGCCCTAGTAGCCGATGGGTAATCGGTTTGAAATGCGGGCTCATTATGATTTTGCTGATTCGCTATATAGACTCCTGGGTGAGCCTCTTGCACAGCTGGCGATCTAACTGAAATGTGCACTGGGGTGAAACCGGGAGGATACGAAGGGTCGGGTGTAAACCCTGGTGGGTTCTGGGGGCCAGATGTAAACCCGACAGGATGCGATGCCATAGGTTCAAATCCTGGAGGATGCAAGAGATCCTGATCAGATGATTTTGGTTGGTCAACAATAGCTTTTCCACTTGTAGCGTGCTTCTTAAACATTTCTTCGATCTTTTGTAGCAAACCGTCTTGTGAGCTTTCCATCTCTGGTTCCATTTTGCTTAATCTTTCTCTCATCTCTGCTTGAGCTTGTTTGTGTTCTTGTTCAATTTGAGCTAATTTTGCCTCCATTTTCTTAGTTTTACGGGTACCGTATGGGTGTGAGGTGAATACCAGGATAACTACAAATAATTGGAAATTATATTTTATTATTCGATGAATTTAATGAATGAATTGTTATAATATGATTATCAAGATTTCAAACATTTAGAAAAACGTAAGAAAATGCAAATGCAAATGCAACCCGATATTGATTCCGAAATAACTTAGTTCATACAAAAAGTACTCAACAACACACAAAGTCTAAGCACTTTAGGCAAAGAGAATACATCCTCATTGAAATTAAACGTAGAATCTTGCCCTATCGCCTAATCTCTCGAGCTCTATTATCAATCCCAGGATGCGTCGCTCTTCATCTGAATTTGGGATAACAAAAACTCTAAGGGCTGCCGCTTCTTCAGATATCTCATAGACTTGACGAGCAACACTGCGGGCCTGATTCACTGCTCTCCCCATTGCTTCATGTTGATTCTGAATGGTGTCGTGAGCCTGCCGTAGCGTGATTCCAAGCTCTGAATTAGTCAATGGTCGGCTTTCTTCTAATTGCTGGATTCGCTGATGGCCTTTTTGTACTGCAACTTCTAGCTAAACGATCTTAGCTTTTAAGGCCTCATTCTCCTGTTTGGCTATATCCTGTGCGGATGAGTGGATCAACCTTGCTTCTTCTAACTCTGTCATCCTTTTCTTTAACATCACATTTTCTTTTTGAAGACGGAATACATCGCTGTTGTATGGGTTCTGAAAAGTCTTATCCATACTAAGTAATTGTGCTTCGAGCCGTTTAATTTGTGCCCGCCTCTGTGTCAATTCTTGGTTAGCCTCATCTCTTTGCTCTCTTAGTCTTTGAGCGTGATGCAGGGCTCGCTTCTTTTCTTCTTAACCTCTTCTTGCGCTTCTTTCTACCCTATCAAGTTTTATTTTTAGGGTCTTAACAGTATGATGTAGACCTTGGGCTCTCATATTCTTCTCTAAGGCCCGAAAATCTTGATTTAGCGCATCAAGACTCTCCTAAGCCTTCTCTTTATCTTTGGCAAATTGTTTTATCACTCCATCCTTCTTAATCAACTCGAGCTCCCACATTGTCTTCTCATCTGAGAAGTTTCTCTGTTCTTTTTCTCTCTCCAGATTCATTAGTCGCATATCCTCTTTTAACAATTCAGCCTCTGTCGGGAGCCTCCTCAATCGCTCCTCCATAGTCAACTCGTCTTCTAAATTTGGCTTCGGTGTATTGTTATTAATTCTCTGCGACCTCTAAACCTCATAGGCTGGTGTGAATCCAGGCTCTATCATTTTGAAGTTCATGTAGTGGGGTTTCTGCCACGCTATATAGATTTTTGAAATCCGCTCTCGATAACCTGGAGTAGAGAAAGAAAATTCTGCCTCATTCAAGCCGTGGGTAGCTGGTACGAACTGTCGGGTACTGAACTGTCTGAGTACAATCAGCGGAGTATACCCGATTGCTCCCCATAATTCGTGCAGCATCACAAAGCTATCGTTACCACATCTGAAAAGTACATCCTCTTTGGGTAACCAATAAGCCTTCCACACAATCTCAGTATCCTTCACGTTACGGAGAGCTTCAACCCAATCTTTTCTCTTGCGATGCTCCGGGATTTGACATTTGTCGAGAAAATCCACCAGAGGCGAAAAATTTGATTGATGTCTCCGAGCCCAGCCCTTCTCAACTATCCAAGAGTGGCTCCACCACCAAACTAGTAATAGTGAAGTACATCCAATGAACTGACCTCCTCCCAATCGTCTACATTGATTCAGTGACAGGAATGTTTCCGCAATGATGGCTGGTGCGGGATTCTTTCTGGAAATAGCTTCGATGAAATTGATTAAGGCAATGTCGAAGTGATCCTCAATCTTGGGGAAAATTACCAGGCCATATACTACAAGCGCGAAGTGATATCTTCTTCTTTTTGATGGAGTCTGCTCATAAATCAAACTCTTCAGCTGAGCCCAGGAGATCCTTTCATCACGAATGTACTCTTCGACCCATTCCTTGGTCTTTCCCGTCAACGTGACCATCTTGGTAATGAACCCCTTAGGTCGGATTGCCTTGGTGTAAATGGAATACTTTCTAACATTCGGGATGTTCAGCAAAGCCGTATATTCCTCCAAGGTAGGGGTCATGTCCACTTTACCGAAAGTGAAACATATATAAGATGGATTCCAACATTCGACCAGGGCCCGGACCAACACTGAATCTATTGGTACTCTCAGCAGCTCTACGATGTCTCCGTATATTTCCCTGAACATTGTCTTCTCATTATCATACCAGGTGGCCCAAATTCTTGATAATTTATCCCAATGTGCTTACCTGACTCTGATAATTGCCTTCTCTGGAAAAACTGACTCTTCAGTAGTGACAAGGCTATCCCCGAACCGTGATTACCCATACTCAGACCAGGTCTGAACACTGATTGCATTCTCAGTCTCATCGGAAGACATTGCTGCCTTAAGCTCTTTTATAATAACTAGGTGATCTTGGAATCAATACCATTTATGAGATGATTTGATATGATAATGATACATGCAAAAATGCAATAAGAGTATACAAAAGAAAATCAATGTTAGTAGAAACAAGACAACAAGAATCAAGTTAGTTGAAATGATTAGTAAAAAAATAATAATATTAAATATGACTTAAAGTTGAGGATAAAATAAAGCATACAAAGAAAATTAATAATCCTAACCGCATGCGTTCTAGTTCTCCTAGGCTATCCACATGGCTCTAGCGGGGTAGACTTACTAAATTCTCTATATGAGGCTGGGTTCTAGCGAAGGTTCCTAAGTTATTTTTACAACCTACTAAGGTTGACCTCGATTCTAGCCCATTACATACTTGTGAATCGGGTTCAGCTCAGGGGATTACACCACTAAAAGCGTACCTCGGAACTGATATCCGGATAGGCAACTTAGGGTACTTTCCAGAGATACTTTGTCAGACCCACACAAGGAAGGCCAATGCTCATCATGAGGTGTGTCGTTTCTCTCTACTTAGGTAAATTTGGTTTGAGCTCGGGTTTAGAGCTATGATATGCAACAATCCTAAATATTTCATAGAAGTGTAAGCATTAACCGGAGAGAAATCTGTTTTTTCTTTTTGAAATAATATAATGAACCATAAATTAAATAAGATCGAACTAGTAATTTCCAAAATCATAAATACAGGGTAACCAACTCGTGGCTCGACTCTCAACTTGTTTAAAAAACAAAATTCCCCAACGAAGTCGCCAAGCTGTCGACACCGTTTTTCACCCGGGCGGGGAAAGACCGATACCGACTCGGGGGTTTTCTTTTTGAAAAGAATTTTTTGAAATGTGAGGAGTCGCCACCAATCATTTAAGGTGCGATTGGGACACCATAAATACCGGGTGATTTTAATAAAACATTTTATTTTAATAAATTATCGAGTTTTAGGGTCTGCGAAAATCCAAAAATCAGGTTCGGGAGTTAGTTACGCGTGGGGAAGGATTAGCACCCCCACAAGCGCCCAAAAATTGGTACCCAGTCGATTACCCTATATTTAAAATTGGAAATTTTGAATTCGATCTTTATTTAATTTAAAAATCATTAAGAATGCAAAGTTTTAAAAGGGTATTCGTTTACTGAGATCGATAGCATTCGCCCCCGAGCGTAAATGCGGGAGATCAGCTATTGTGTCTAATAACCGAACATTGCCTCGTTTTAAAAACATGATGTGGTTTTGAAAAGGATGTTGACTTAATTAGGGAATTACCAGTAGTCACCCCCTGAGCACGATCGCGGAGGATATACTATTAACTCCTTAATAAGTGAACAGTGCCTTAAAGTTTAAAATAAAATGCACTCGGACAAAATCTTATTCAATCCTAATTAATCTAAGATAAATTAAGGCCTTTTCTAACTTAAGGTATCAAATTATGATAATTAAGGAACCTAGGGGCTTAAACCTAAAGATGTAGGTTCTAATATTAATCCTATTTGATTTTAAAAAATTATTAAATCAAATAACCGAGATGGTCCCTCGAGCGTTTACGCGAGGGCCAACTCGAATTATCCCCTAAATTAAAGACTAGTTTGAAATCTAACCTAAAATGGAGGCTCTATTTAACATATTTAATTATGTCAATATTAAATGTATAAACATAGTTCGGGGAATAAACATGTCAAAGAATTAAAATAACGGACCTAAAAGATTTAAAAGTCTAAGGTTATTTTTAAACAGAATAAAATATGATACATTGATATATTTAAAAAATAAATACACACATTAAGGTTAATTTTAACTTTGTTTTACTTTATAAATAGATACATATTTTCTAAATATGATATTAAACGTATGACATACTATTTATTCTAAAATATAATGAAAATATAAAATATAATATTTATCGTGCTCTACATATAATATTATGTATATAATAAAGTAATATATAATAATATAAGTAAAATAAATACCTAAAACATAAAACATACTTTAATGGTACAAATAAACAATATACATATATATTCATTAATATCTTAGTGACAAAAATGAGTGAAAAATAATTTTAAAATTATAAACATTAATAAAAATAAATATCATGGCATGAAACAAGAAAATCACATAACATGAGCACTAGAATCGTAATAAAATAATAAATATAGGACTAAAATAGAATATCATAAACATCAGTACCCCATTTCGAACACAAATAATACATACAATAGTGGACTAAATTAAAATAATACAAAACAAAGTAGCCAATTCACAAATCATGTAAAGTAAAAGAAAATGGTGACCATAACACAAAAAACGCTAAACTTGAAGGGACCTAAGGCACGATTAACCCTAAAATGACTAAAGACGCATATCACATTAAACTTAAAGGACCAATAAAGTGATTTAACCTAAAATTAGTGATATAAATGCAAAACACGCTAAAACTATGATGACCTAGTATGCTATTTACCCTAACACTTAAACTAAAACATGAAACATATTAAAAATAGATGACTTGACATGTGATTAACCCAAAACCCAAAATAACTTTACTTTTTTCTCTCCCCAGAATCATTTATGTGCAAGGGTTTTCATTTCCTCTCCTCTTCTCTCTATTATTTCTCTCAACTTTCTTCCTCTTTTTCTATTTCATTTTTACTTCGTGGAATAAACGATCGTTGGCCATGAATCACCATGGCCACCACTGCGAACCGTCCTGATCTAAGGTAATAATCTACTCACTCTTTTTCCTTCTTATTTTACATACAAAGCTTCAAAAAAAAAATATTAGATTCAAAACTAAAAGAATATTCAAAATACCTTGGAATAATCTGATTTTTATTTCTTTTCTCTCTGATTCTAAATTATTTTAGTATTTTCTCGTAATAGCATAGAGTAAAAAAAAATTAGTATTTGAATACGAAAATAAAAAAAATTACCCTTAAATGCTTGTATTTCTCTGGAAAAATCAGAGAGAAAATCCTCCCTTTTTTGATTACATGCATTTGGCTTTTATAGCCAATTTTACAATGATTTTTCAGTTGATTATGCCTTGATTTTAGCAGGAAACAAGGGGTGATGGGGTTGGTGTTGAAAAAAATGGGATGATGGGTGTTGGTGTTGAAAAAATGGGGTGGTAGGTGTTGGTGTTGAAAAATGGTGTTTACAGACGAGATAATGTAAGTGAGATTTTTTAATTCTCAATATAATCTATCTCTGGGATTATTTTCCCATCTAAGGTGAATTGAACAATATCAACCTAAAGATGCCAAGTGGTCTACGCATCTTAAAGCTAAATATGAAGACTACACGACTGTATGACGTCTTCAGGCAAATGAAGAAGATTTCACGACTGCATGACGTCTTCAGGCAAATTGAAAAGACCCCAGGAGTGCACGGCATCTACAGATCAATAAGAAACCCTAGTTCATGAAATAATATAATAAATGCCTTGTATAGGAAAATAATTTTTCCCACAACCCTATATGAGTGAGGAAGCCTCCTATAAAATGTAGACCACCTACCTTGTAAGACTTTAATTGCTTAGGAAAATAAACAGGTAGGTGGCTTGAATTGGATTCATGATCATTGATTATTGTCTTTGTTAATCATATATATATGAAAAAAATTATTTTTTCAGAAAAATTTATTTATTTATTTAAAATTAAAATTTTAAAATTATTTCAAGTGAAATAAATATACTCTTAATCTTATATCATAAATTACAAACTTACAATATATTTTAAAATTTATATATTTTCATAGAAAAATTGTAGTCATTTTAATTTTATTCATTTTTAATATAAAAATATTTTTATTATAATTTAAGTTGATAAATTTTATATATTATATTATTAAAAATTAAGTATCATTTAAATATATATATTTTAAATTATAATAGCATGTCTAAAATAATTATTTATCTTTTTAAAAGTATTTTTATTGAATACTTAAATTTTTAAGTTTAATAATTCAAAATTATTTTAATACTGCAATTTTTAAAACATGGGTTAATTAAACTAAGGGGCCGTTTGTTTACTGCTGAATGCTGAACCGTTCAGCGCTGAATGCTGAACCGTTCAACATTCAGCGTGTTTGATTCTCACATCTGAATGAAGACTATGCTGAATGAAACAACAAATCACTGCTTAATGATTAAGCATTAAAGTGCATTATGAATCATTAAACACATGATATTTTATCATAATACCTATTTTTTACATGTTGTCTTATTAAACAATCATATCTTATAATATAATAAATCATTATGAAGGTAAAAATGAAAATATTCATAATTCAGATTGTACATTCAGAACCATTATCAAACAGCATGTCACATTTAGAGTCAATTTATACAGAACCTTTGAATCATTTAGGTCATTATATTATTCAACGCTTAATCATTTTATTTTATCAAACAGACCCTAAGTCTAAGAAACATGAGCGTAGAAAATAATCTTGAACCGAATAGGAAAATTCAAAAGATAAGCAGTTTAATAGTTGAAACAAAGAGGAATGAAAGCAAATGTCAGTTATTGTGGGCGACCGAATAAACACAACTCGAGGAAGAATGGAAGCTCGGTGATTGCCTTGCCTGTGCCTGCAAGGCTGTAAGTATTTGATAACGACACATCATACTGTGGTGGAGACACACTCAGCACTTCGCGTGCTTCCCCGACTCGGCCCCCCAACCCCATTTTCAACCGACAGCTCCGGTCCTTCACTGGCTACTCTTACTGTTGGTCTGTGCCTTCCTGACCCCATCTTCCTATGTACTGTTCACAGACAGGCCTATTTTGGTTCTAATTATATTTGTAACACAACTCTTGAACAAAATCATTAGAAAAATGAGGCATTGGGTTATTAATAAAAAATGGCTTATACTAAAATGATTACTTCATAGAATTAGCATTTTGGTTTACAAAGAATTGAGTTTGGTATTGATTTTTGTTAATATATTGGGTGATATTCAAAGGAATCCATGTTCGATTCTTTGTTTGTAGAGCCTGGCATAATAGTACAGGTTCAAAGTCTGTTGGCAGCGAGAAATGCGGTGAGAAACAGAAGCAGAAGGCGGGGGTGGAGTACGGAGGATGCTTCCGAAATTACAGCCCACGCTGCTCCACACTCATTTTTCTGCCCCACCCCTGGCCCTCAACCAAATCCCTTGTATCCTCTTCTTTCACGCCCACTACCCCCATCACTAGCGTTTCTTCTATCCTCTTCTATGTTGTCGTTTTTATATCAAATGTGAAGTATCGACAAAACTCAGTCATCCTCATCTTCTTCTTTTACAGTTTTTAATAATAAACACATGCCCAAGGCATCAGTGACCTCGATGAGACCTCAATCAGAATCTTGTTGTAACAATTGGAAACTAACTTTTTGTAGAGCGTAAGATTATTAACCTTGTGGTCGTGGGATCGAGTCCCACGGAGGGCATTTCATAATTCGGAAGTCTCCCACGAAAGCTACTCTCAACCTGGTGTTGGGGGCCAGCCTACTATCCTACCTCCCCTTATCCCATTATATATGGAAATAAGGGTCAACTAATTTCTTATTTGTATTATTTTTATTCTTCAGCATGCTTGACTGACCTCCTTTTCAGTTCAGTCGATTCATCATTGAGGATGATGGCAATAGCACAAGTTTACCCCCAAAGATAAAGCAATTTCTGAAATGAATTTGGATATGCCATATATATATAGTGTTGGATATTGATCAAGTTCTGAGATGTAGTTTTCACCTCTGATGGAATGACCCCTCAAAGCCTGAATTTTCACCACAGGGGAGAAAATTCGTTGTTACCCAAAAGTAGAAATCCTATCCATATAATGCTAGCCCTTCTTTCACATTGCTTCAACATACATTCCAAACAAATATGTATATAAATTCAAATTTGATTCAAATACACACCGTCATTAATTAATGTATTAGTATTGGCAGACTGTAATGGCATAGAAGGACATTGTCGTCATCCATTACTGATTACTTCCCATGATTATCATTTTACAAAAATCCAAAAAGAAAAACAACAAATTAAAAACCAATTAAACAAACACAAAGCCGAATTCCTAGTCGATAGAGCCGACTGACTAGCCCATTGTCCAGCCCAAACACAACACTGTAAAAGTCTGCTATCTTCTCTCCCTTATGTCCCATATGACCTTCAGAACATGTTTTCCCTGCCCCACAGATCCTCTCTATTCATTTCTCCCCATATATATAACCCACATCATAAGCAAAAACCAATAGATTTTACTTTGAAGTTTGTTTTGTTTTTGGTCTGAAAATGCCAACGGATTCCGCTGATCAGAGCAAGGCGTTTAACCATGGAGCTCCACCGCCAGAACAAGAACAGTTGCCATGTCCGCGTTGCGATTCTACTAATACCAAGTTTTGCTACTACAACAACTATAACTTCTCTCAGCCGCGCCATTTCTGCAAGTCCTGCCGTCGTTACTGGACTCATGGCGGTACTCTACGTGACATCCCTGTTGGAGGTGGCACCAGGAAACACGCTAAGCGTTCACGCACCGCAGTCTCCTCCCATGTCGCTGCTACTACTACTACCACTACCGACGCGACTAGTCATAATAACTTCCCGTTACCTGCAACGCCAGTTTTGTTACCGATCTCTGGTAATCAAGGGAGTTTTGGTATCGGTGGTGGGGAACCGAAGTGCAATGGTGGTGGTGGCGGAAGTATTACTTCGTTGTTGAATACTCAAGGGCCTGCTTTTCTGGCTCTCGGTGGGTTTGGTCTTGGTATTGCTCCGGCGCTAGAGGATGTTGGGTTTGGACTTGGGAGAGGAATGGGAGATGTAGCGGCCGCGGTCGGTGGCAACTGTGGCGGGGCTGCTGCTGGTATGAGAATGGCGAACACGTGGCAGTTTGAAGGTGGAGAGACTGGGTTTGTTGGGGGTGGGGATTGCGTTTCTTTTTTTGATCTTGCTATATCAAAGTAGATATGACTAAGACTTTAGTTTTTCTTCCTTAAATGATCCAATGCCATGTGATTTGGTTTGTTTTGTCCACTATTTTCGTCTAGTTTTTCACTTTTTCTGTCTAATAGTTTCAAGACTTTTCGTTCAAAAAATACTAATGAAAACCTTCTCCATTATGAAGCTTGAAGAAATGCAGAACTGGCCTTTTTGAGTTATAGAAACAAGTGAAGCAAATTGAGTGCAACCTTAAAAGGGTGTTAATTTAACAGCTACAATAAGAAAGCAAGACAGAAGGGTTGAATTGGTTATAAATGTAGATTGACATTTCGACAGAAGCACACAGGCAGCGGCAAGAATTTAATTGATGGTAGTTAACACAGTACAAAATCTACTTCTCCTGCTGTGAATGCAACCCCCAAAAATTCCAACTTTTTCATCCCCCAATTAGTGTTCCAAACTTAAAAGCTCTGTCGGCATCAAGTTATTGGTCTATACACTCCTCGTATTTCAATGCCAATCTCAATACACTCTAGTCTTTACGCACGAACCGATGGCCAGCAAGGCATTGAATGGTCGATTCAAGCTATTGGACACCATGAACGTAGGCCTTTGTTAACAGCAAGTAATCGAACCAATAGAATGAAAAAAAAAATACTTTTCTGGTATATTTTCTCTAATGCAAAGCTGTAGTTTATATACAAATAAGCCAACTGCTAACTGATAAACTAACTCTCCTAACAACCTAACTAACAATAATATATCATAATACCCCCTTCAAACTGGATCATAACTCTCTAAAAGAGTTATCATATATGTTCTTTTTACCTAGGATAAGCTTAGACTTAAGCACTATTAGGAGCATAATTAGAAACATTTGTATATATTTTTATACATTTTGCATCATGAGAGTTGGTTGAGCAACTTTGGGTTACATTTGATGTTTATTGTTGAATTATGGTACACTTATGTTGTGGTATTACTCTATGTTGTAGGTGGTGCTGTGAAGCGATGCTAGTCTGATTGATGTGAAGAGCTAGCAGCAACTGTTGATGTCACTGGTGATTATTGAAATTTTCTAGAGTAAGACAACTGGCTGGGAAGCTGTCAATTGGCTGCATTTCACTTAATACGTGGAAGAATTTTATTGGGTAAAAGTTGATTCCTTTAGCCTATAAATAAAGGATGCTTTCACATCATTAAGACATCCAATTTTTCATCTTCCAATATTTTCTCCACCTACCTAATGTCTAATCAACCATGGTTGCCTAAGTCCATCGCCAGGGAGTGTTGCAATTGTTGAGGAGTAATGTTGTGTACCAGCGGTGATTGAGAAGATCCTCTTTTACCCTTGTTACTCCGTTGAGATAGGAAAGTAGAAAACTAGACTTGGATATTTTATTAAACGTTGGAATGTTATTTGGTTATGAACATCAAGTGTTTGTGCAAATGCTTTTGTTATGATTCATGCTTTTGTTATACTTTTATGTGCTATTAAACTTCATTGAATGTTCTTAGGAGTAAAATAATCTTATTGTATACTTTATCTATGATATATAAAAATAAGTATTTTGGGTATTGCATCAACTTCTGTCCAACATTGGTAAATGTGAGAAGCAAGTTAGTGTATTGAGATGTATGCTACCAATGTTATGTGTAAACTAGGGCTTTCACGAATAAAAATACAGTAGCTTTATTCATGAAAAAATTCTATATTTTCAATTAGATAATATAGAGTTTTTATACAAGTAGATAAAAGACTTAGATAAAGTATGAGTTATTTTTTTCTACAAATTAGGAGATTAGAGTTTGAGATAAAGAGGAGAACTAGAGTTTGACCGAAATACTACTCACACTCCCCTCAAACTAGGAAGTAAATATTGTAAAGACCTGGCTTGAATATAATTTCATTGAAAGTACTTCTTGTAACTGCCTTGGTCAATATATCAACTAGTTGATTTTGTGAAGAGACGTAATTTAGTTTCGTTGTTCCGCCATTCACTTTCTCTGCAATAAAGTGTTTGTCGATCTCCACATGTTTTGTTTTATCGTGATGTATCAGATTCTTTGCAATACTTATTACTGATTTGTTATCACTCTAAAGCTCAAAGTCGTCGTTGTCGCACATCTCTAGTTCAGTTAAAAGTCTTTTAAACCAAATACCTTTATAAATCCCAAGTGTTATCGCCTGATATTATACTTTCGCATTGCTCCTGGAAACTACAACTTGTTTCTTTCTTCTCCATATTACTAAGTTATCCCAAACAAACGAGCAATATCCCGTGGTTGACCTTCTATCCGTTAATTCTCCAGCCCAGCTTGAATCTGAGAAGATCTTTACTGTTATGTCTTCATATTTTCTAAAAATCAACCTATGTCATTGTGTCATCTTTAAATATCTCAAGATTAGTTTATTGTCGCCAAATATTCTTCTCTAGGATCATTCATATATCGACTAATAATACTAACTGAGAAGGCGATGTTAAGTCTAGTTAGGAATATATAGATAAGCTTACTAAATAGCCTTTGATATTGCTCATTGTTTACTGGATTTCCATATTTTCTTAACTTCATATTAACTTTCATAGAAGTTTCTGAGGGCTTGCATCTGGTCATTCCAGTCTCAGAAAGTAAGTGTAACACCCCAACCCGTATCCGACCCGGATACGAATCCGAGGTGTCACATTAAATTTTTCAAAACTTGATTTTTGTAAAATTGTATTAAAATTTAAAACTTTTTCTTTATATTTTGTGGTGAAACCCTCATATAACTGTTAAAAACTGATCAGAGCATTTCCATTTAAAACTTTATGATACATGCCAACAAATTTACAAAATGAAAATAAACCTACGATTCAAATGGTTCTAATATGATTTTCCAGGCGTATGTTGTCCTTTCCTAGCTTTACTCCTCCGATCTCTTTGAACCTACGTGTGAAATAATCACATGATAAGTCGATGACTTAGTGAGGCAATAATAAGTTTAACAAATCATTTAAAAACATTTGCTTTTTCAATCCATATAAATATTTCATACTAAAATCAAGATACAATTCATGAAATTAACGTATAATGTTATTCATTATTCAATTTATATCATTTTATTATTTTAGCCCAATGCATACTATTGAGAACTTAAGGTATCTGAGTACAACGAGGTTGTGCACTAATGCAGTCACCACTGTTCATATAATTTGCACCGAAGTGCCATGTAGAATTTGTCCCAAAGGACCACGTAGAATTATCCCGAAGGACCGCGTAAAACCCTCGACTCTTGGCATGCCAACTATATCTCTATTTCTCATACATATACCTTGGGCTTTAACCATATAATTATTTTTCATTTCATTATTCAAAGTGTGTTTTATTCACGTAGAGTATATTCACATAGGGTACTTTCACGTAGAACATTTTCGTATAAAACATATTCATATATCTTATATTCACATACTAGCAAATATCAGAACAATGCATTCACAAAAATAATTTATGTAAAACATTAAAATATTACATAAAATAAATAAATTTTTTTCGATCGAAAACTTCGAGGTTGATTTATCGCAAGCCGTCCTCATATCTACTATAAAATAAATAACTTGCACTCACCTTTGCCTAACACAAGTCCTAAAAGAAATCATTTTTCTTTCATTCAATCTCGTACTAAATCGATTTCTTCTATAAAGCTTCGATCCAAATCCACGCATGTCCAATATCAATACCGAATTTCCATTAACAGGTAACCAATTAGCACTTATAAAAATGGAACGAAAACTCTTAAATTAAATTTTAGACTAAATAGTATCGGTACCCCTCCTACAGTGCGATACTTCTCTTCTATGGTACCGATACCCACTTTAGTATCGATACCATTTTGGCATTCTGGAATTTCATTTCAATTACAGTATCGATACATTCCTCTTGGTATCGATACCTCCACATCAGTATCGATACTTTTTCAATCAATATCGATATTGTTCATCCGATACATACCATTTCTTTCAATTTAACCCTATATTATCGGTATTGTTCATCCAGTACTAATACCATTACCCATATTTTACCTCTTTCACTTCATAATTTTTCCACACTTCACCTAAATCTCTTACTCTTACCTCAAATCATGCCATCAAACCCATTATGATTTTTCCCAACTAACTTACATTCATTAATCCCCTTATAACCTCCAAATTTCTTTAAAGAACACTTAAACTAAGAATTATACAAAATCTTCAAACATGTTCTCAATCATTTCTAAGACTTCAAATGCCTTAATTTGACCATTGACAAGTCAAATATGCCTTTAGAATCTAATTACTAACCAAATTTCATTCATTCACATAAAAACTCATTTTACTAATCCATTAATAATTCATTTCTCTTAGTTTTATTCATCCCTAAGCTTTCCTTAAGCTTCTATATCACTCAAGGCTTCAAAACCAACCCAAAAATAAAAGTAAATAACCAACTTAAGATTCCATGACAAGAGATAAAGTAGGATACTCATAGTAAACTCTGTCGAGTAAGTAAGACATAAAAGTTTAAACCATCATAAAAGATAAGACTTAAGATTCCTAAGTGACCCCATCATTCATTTCCGTAATAGCTTGTTGTGTGAGGATTATTAAGTCATCTTATTTAATTCCCAAGTTATCAATATATTTTTGTTGAGTTAATCGAATGACGAAATTGGCCAAGAGGGGGGTGAATTGGCAATAAAAATTTTGTGGAAGCTTTTGCAGAAAATTGAAAGCAATTGCACAGCGATTTACAGTGGTTCGACTTTCTCAAACAAAGTCTACGTCCACTACCTTAGCTATCCACACTAAGGATTTTCCAACAAATTCACTAATTTGTTCTTTCTTTTGAGGCCAAAGAGATAACCTTACAATTCCCTCAAGAGTATACCCCAACTCTTGAGAACACTCTTTTCTCAAAGAGAAGATTACAAATTTGCAAACTTACAAGAAAACCTCACAAGGTAAGATGTTTGCACAATTCTAGAACAAAGAAAAGAACACTCAAAG